TTCCCAATTTTGGAGTCTCTTTAAAGTGGCTAATTGTCACTCGCGTGAAAAGTGGCTTACAAATGAATATTTCTGTTTGAAGTTACTTTCTTAAACAGAAAGGTAGTGAAATTTCTAGGCTGAGTGGATGGTAATGAAAGAAGCCAAGACTCTTTAATTTATTTTAAGGAAACAAGTAATTTACACTTTGTAAACTTTATGTTCTCATACAGACCTACATATGGTGCGTAAAGAGTATATTAAATTATTTCTGATAGAAAAGAAGTCATTATCTTTAAATATTCACCATATCAGCAGCCCAAAATTAATTTCTCTGAATAGAGATGGTCATAAAAGCACATCCTCTTTAACTTGAATTGCTTTACCAACAGAGGTCACCAGAGCAGTTCTGGTGTACTGTTGTGATTATGTCTGACGAACCTGATTTCATTCTAAGAAAAGCTGACCCACTTAGTGAATGAAGGTAAGGCTATCGATGTGGTCTACCTGGACTTCAGTAAAGCTTTTGACACTGTCCCCCACAAAACTGTCGAGGAGACAATGGGTTTGGATGGGTGTACACTCCGCTGGGTGAAATACTGGCTGGGTGGCCAGGCCCAAAGAGTTGTGGTCAGTGGAGCTAAAGCCAGTTGGTAGCTGGTCATGAGAGGTGTCCCCCAGGGCTTGGTACTGGGGCTGCTTCTATTTAACATCTTTATTAATGATCTTGATGAGGGGATTGAATGCAGCTGCAGTAAGTTTGCAGGTGACACCAAGTTGGGAGGGATTGTTGATCTGCCTCGGGGGAGAAGGGCACTACGGAGGAATCTGGATAGACTGGATCGATAGGCCAAGGTTAACTATATGAATTTCAATAGGACCAAGTGTTGGGTCCTGCATTTTGGTCACAACAACCCCAAGCAATCCTACAGGCTTGGGGAAGAGTGGCTGGAAAGCTGCCTGATGGAAAGAGTGTACCTTGTACAGTACCTTGGTGCACTGATGGACAGTCAGCTGAATATGAGCCAGCAGTGTGCCCAGGTGGCCAAGAAGGCCAATGGCATCCTGGCTTATATCAGGAATAGTGTGGTGAGCAGGACTAAGGAAGTAATCCTACCCCTGTACTGAGCGTTGGTGAGGCCTCACCTCGGGTACTGTGTTCAGTTTTGGGCACCTCAGTACAGAAAGGACACTGAGGTGCTGGAGCAGGTCCAGAGAAGGGCAACAAGGCTAGTGAAGGGCTCCTGTGAGGAGCAACTGAAGGAACTGGGGCTGTTCAGTCTGGGGAAAAGGAGGCTGAGGGGAGATCTTATTGCTTTCTTCAAATATCTGAAAGGTGCTTACAGCAAGAACAGGGTTGGTCTCTTCTCAAAGGTGACAGGTGACAGAATGAGGGGAAATGGCCTCAAGTTGCTCCAGAGGAGCTTTAGATTGAATACCAGGAAAACTTATTTACAGAAAGGGTTGTTAAGCACTGGAATAGGCTCCCCAGGGAGGCAACTGAGTCATCATCCCTGAATGTGTTTAAAAACTGTTTGGATGTGGTGCTCAGGGACATGATTTAGCAGAGGGTTGTTAGAGTCAGGCTAGTATGGTTAGGTCGTGGTGGACTCAATGTTCTTTAAGGTCTTTTCCAAACTGAGTGATCCTGTAGTTCTATGATTCTACGTCAACAAATAAGTTATGAAGAATCAAATGCTGTCGCTCAGTATGGTACTTATAACTGTGTTTCATACATGAGTGTAGGTGTTGCAGTTACTGGATTGTTCTAAGCATCTTGTTAACTAAAACAATAATTAATCATACCACATATTAATAATTTACTTGTTCATGATCAGCTATGTGTGTTTCCTTGCTATGAGTTTTGACTAGGCATAAGTCTGAAAAATAATAAAATCAGTTAACAATCTGGACTGGCTCCAGACTTCAGGCTCCTTAAAATGAGCTATTTGATACATGTTCTTTTTGAATTGGAAAAAATGCACCTGACAGTTTTGTAACTATTTCAGTAATTTCATTATTTCATTAACTTCTCTCAAGGGGAAATTTTACTTCTTTTTTTTTGAGAGTTTCATGCCTAAACGGACCAACACAAAAATACTTGGACCTTTGAGTTGATATAACTTGCTGATAGCTTTAGACTCATATCTTGCTACTTGTTTCAACTTTTTTTTTTTTTTTTTTTAATGTCTGTAGCTTTTTAACTCATTTGCAGATTCATTTGCAGAAGCAAAACTCATACACTAAAAGATGACATTTTAAATCTTACATCGTAAGCTACTGCTGAAAAACACCACTCATTGCCTCATTGTGAGCGCATTCACTATTTGGTCTCCATAAATGTTCAGCATGTGCCAATGAATGTCACTTCTTCTGCATGAAAGAATTCAGCCTCTACTGCCATACTACCAACATCTGCCACTGGAGCTGTGGGTCAATATAATAAAATAGGAAGCATTACTTTCAGAGCAGCCCTCATAGAGCCTACAATATAATTGTACAGTATTGATATAATACTACGTAATTCAGTTGTCATATTGTCAAGGAGGAATATTGCTGCCTTGACTGATGTTCAGAAATAAGTATATTAGCTGTCAGCAAAATGCCATATGACAATTAGACTAACTGTTGGAAATAATCTACATAATGATTTAAATTAAACATAGCCACATGGAAACACTGGATAGTGACTGTATAATAATTTCTACCCTTTCAGTAAATGACGTATGCCATATGTTTGTGAAATTTGCTATATTCAAACAACTGAATTAAAGTGACATGGAACAGGCTAATTTCTGATGGCAGAATGTATATATGTTTATATATTTATATATGTTTATACTGGACTGTATGAGAAGAAAATCTCAACCATTTATCAGTGAAAATGAAGCTTAGTTTTAAAGATATATATCTATTTCAATTTAAGGAGTACTGTTGTAGGCATTCATTCAAACTGGAAAAGGGTTATACACATGAGAATGAAAATCAGATGTGTACTGAGTGTGTATATAAGGTGCTCCATGCATACAGTTCCATACAAGGCCTATTCAAGTGAGGACTGGATCTGTATGCCCACAGCAAATCTGGCCCCATGCGTTTGATTGACCGGTTTTCAGCAAGAGATATGGTACTTCATTGACATCCAGTTTGAGTTTTTTTTACAAGAAATTGACATACACAGTGCTTTTAAACTATTTTCCTTTCCCATTGTTTGCCTGTTCACCTAAACAGTCTTGTGAGACTAGAGCTTGAGATGTACTTAGAAATGAACTGTAAGGAATCAAGTTATTGTAAAATATTGTAGTAGTAATTTTGTATACTTTTACATCTTTACTCTTTAGTAGGGAAATATTGGTGGTAGGTGGATGGTTGGACTAGATGATCTTGGAGCTCTTTACCAACATTGGTGATTCTCTGATTCTATGATTCTAATTTTTTTCTTCATTTCCATTGAAAGCAGATTTAAATTGACTGGAGTTTCTACTGTAGGGTGCATTTTTTATCAGAAATGTTTAAACATTGCTTTCACCAGTAAGAGTTTCACATGTAAGAACCAAGGTAAAATAATGAAAAATACATATACATATGTATGCACATATATGTATATTTATTTTTTTCAGTGGTGAGCTGTGATTAGAGCTTTGGAATACCAGACAAAACATTGTGAGCACTGAATAGAAGTCCAAATTCTCTTGTGACTTTCCAAACTTTTATTGATAAATTCCAGTTATAGGTAACAAAATATGGCCAATCCTCTCTCTCCTTCCCTCATCAGATAAGCATCGCTTTGCAGATTCTAAAATGGGCCGTTGTAGAAGAAGCTGTTATAATCCAGGCCTGAGTTTCAAACTCTTCACCCAAGATCTCAGTAATTACAGTAATGTTGTTTGTTAGAAGAAACCATCAGATGACATTAGTCTTTCAGTTTTACCCAAACTGCTTAATTCCAAAAGTAATGCCTCCATTTTATCTCCTTGGAAACTACAACAGATGCAAAGAGAACAATAATAATGTTTGATAGAGAAATTCTCAGCTACTGAAGACTATTTTTCAACATAGCCATTACAGTTAGGTGTGCATTTTTGCGAGTGATGAACAAGAGCTTGCACATTGGTATTGTAAAAATCTGCACCACTGAAGGTGACCTACTGTCACCATCACCACTGCTAAAATGCACCACCCATTGCCTCACTGTGCTGACATCCACTGTTTGATCTCCGTGAATGATTAGCAAGTGTTGAGGAATGTCAGTGAGTGCAATCTTTTCCGCATGGAGAAATTCAGTGATATAACTTTGCTTCATCTGCACTTCCATGTCAAACAGTGTTCTATTACACTGTCCCTCGACTGCCATCTGTCTCATGGGAACAAAATGGAATATTGCTAGGAAGGTTCAACCTCTGCTGCAATACCACCAACATCAGCCACTGGTGTTCTGGGTCAGCCTAATAGAATAGGTATTACTTTCAGAGTAGCTCTCATATAGTCTGTCAAGTATAGAGTGATAATTTGGTCATTTAAGATTGGAGACCACTGTCTCTGTTACATTTGATTTCCTGTAAGGAGTTGCATGTATTGATCTGTAATATTGTCTTGTTCACTCTGTCATTTTTATTTTTTTAATTGCCTTTTACATATTCCAATCCAAAGTGAAAAATAAGTGTTACAGAAATTTTCCAGTGTACAAGTTTGTTTTTACCTCACGCTGTACGTTATGCACTTTTCCCAAGAGACAAGGATCATATTAAACCAAAGTAATGATTTTTTTTGTAGTGAAATCTCTTTCCATTCTTTCACGTCATGACAAATGACGATATGTAAAGAATCTCCTCCACCAAAAAAGTAAGGAAACTCTTGAATGTACTTCAAAGGTATGTGGGAAGACCATCTTGAATAACATTATGTATAGGCACAGATGAATGAGCTGGTTTGTTAGCATATCATTCTGTAATCTGCATACTTAGAGGCTTAGCTCCTCAAATACTATAGTTCACTTAATATAATGTCGTGATTTATTGTAGGCTATTTGATCATTCCATGGAAGGATTCAAAAACTGGGAGTTTATGACTACTCACTGCTGGAGTGAAAAAGCAGCAGGTGACTGGATCTTGGAAATCTGTGACACGCCATCTCAGCTGAGAAATTTCAAGACTCCAGGTATGAATCTGACCTTTATTTGGGCTCAGTGAATTTAGAAGGATGTTTGCAGTTGTTAATACCGCCTTGGCTGTTTTCCACCGTTTATATACACCTGCAATATCTGACAGTGTGAAGATGAGTGTGAAGGCAGGACTATAAAGGGAACCATAGATTCATGGCTTGGGTTGGGAGGGACCTTAAAGATCATCCAGTTGCAACCTCTTGCCATGGGAAGAGTTGCCAACTACTATCTAGGTCTTCAGGAGGGCAGACTTTGAACTATTCTGGACCTGTAAGGAGGGTTACTTGGGATTCAGTCTTAAAGGGTAAAGAGGTCCAGGAACACTGACCACTCCTCAAGAAGGAAGTCTTAAAGGCATAGGAGCAGGCTGTCCCCCTGTGCCTTAAGATGAACCGGGAGGAAGAAGAACAGCGTAGGTAAACAGGGAGCTTCTCCTGAGGCTCCAGGAGAAAAAGAGAATCTACCTCTCGTGGATGAAAGGACGAGCAACTTGGAGAGAGTACACAGAAGTTGTTAGGATATGTAGGGAGAAAATTAGAAAGGCAAAAGCCCAACTTGAACTCAGTTTGGCCACTGGAGTAAAAGAGAACAAAAAATGTTTTTACAAATATATTAACAGCAAGAGAAGGGCTAAGGAGAATCTCAATCCTTTACTAGATGCCGGGAAATGACTCCTAAGGATAAGTGAAGGGCTAAGGTTCTCATTGCTTTCTTTACATCTGTCTTTAAAAGTCAGACCAGTTATCCTCAGGATACTCAATTGCCTGACCTGTAAGTTTCAGATAGAGAGCAGGATAAACACCCCATGATACAGGTAGAGACAGAGACCTACTACTCCACCCACTCTACTACTCCACTGTCACAAGTCCATGGGGCCAGATGGAATCCACCCAAGGGTATTGAGGGAACTGGTGGAGGTGATTGCTGGAGAGGTCTCAGAGGATTGGAGGTTTGCGAGTGTGACTCCCATCAACAGGAAGGGTCGTGAGGAAGATCCAGGGAACTGCAGGCCTATGAGCATGACCTCAGTGCCAGGAAAGGTTATGGAACAGATAATCTTGAGTGAAATCACATGACATGTGAGACAACACATTCACAGGGTTCACAAAAGTCAGGTCCTGCTTGACCAACCTGATCTCCTATGATCAAGTAACCCTCCTGGTGGATGAGGGAAAGGCTGTTCACCTAGTCTTCCTAGACCAGTAAATCTTTTGACACGGTGTCTTTTGACACTGTATTCTCTTGTAGAAGTAGGCAGCTCATGACTTGAACAGGTACACTCTGCTGGGCAAAGAACTGGCAAATGACAGAGAGCAGGGGCAAATGGAGTTAAATCCAGCTGGTGATTGGTCATGAGTGGTGTTCCCCAGGGGTCAGTACTGGGGCCTGTCCCGTTCAATATCTTTACTGATGACCTGGACAAGGGGATTAAGTGCACCCCCAGAAAGTTTGCAGATGGGAGGAAGTGGCAATCTGCCTGGGGGTAGGAAGGCCCTACAGAGGGATCTGAACAGGCAAGAAAGCTGAGCTGAGACCAGTTGGATGAACTTCAGCAAGACCAAGTGCTGGGTCCTGCACTTTGGCCACAACAATCTCAGGCAATGCTGCAGGCCTGGGGCAGAGTGGCTGGAAGACTATGTGGAAGAAACGGACCTGGAGGTGTTGGCTGAACATGAGTCAGCAGTGTACCTAAACTGTCAAGAAGGCCAAGGGTATTCTGGCTTGTATCAGATATAGAATTGTCAGCAGGAGCAGAAAAGTGATCATCCCACTGTACTTAGCACTGGTGAGGCCACATCTTGAGTACTGTGTTCAGTTCTGGGCCCCTCATTACAAGAAAGATATTGAGGCCCTGGAGTATGTCCAGACAAGAGCAACAAAGCTGGCAGGGGGTCTGGAGCACAAGCGTTACGAGGAGCGCCTGAGGGGACAGGGATTGTTTAGTCTGGAGAAGAGGAGGTTCAGGGGAGACCTTATGGCTCTCTACAAGTACCTGAAAGGAGGTTGTGGTGAGGTGTGGGTCAGCCTTTTCTCCTGTGTAACTAGTGGTAGGACTAGAGAATATGTCCTCAAGTTGTGCCAAAAGAGATTCAGGGCGGATGTTAGGAAAAATTTCTTCTTCAGAATAGTGGTTAGGCACTGGACTGAATTGCCCAGGGAGGCAGTTGAGTCACTGACCCTGAAGATGCCCAAGAAATGTTTAGATTTACTAAGGGACATGGTTTAGTCAGAAAATATTGCTTGTAGGTGGACAGTTGGATTGGATAATCTTGGAGGTCTTTTCCAACATTAGTGATTCTATGATTCAATTATTCAGTAGATCAAGCTGCCCAGGGCCACATCCAACCTGTCCCTGAATGCCTCCAGGGATCAGCATACATAGCTTCTCTGAGTAGTGTGTGCCAGTGCCTCATCACCCTCTTAGAAAAAAATTTCCTCCTAATAGCTAATCTAAATCTCCCATTTAATTCAAAGCCATTCCTTCTTGTCCTATTACTGCCAGAGTACGTAAAAAATGAGTCTCATTCCTCCTTGTAAGCTCCCCTTAAATCCCTCAAATAGTGGAAAGGCAAAGTGACGTCTCCCCAGAGCCTTCTCTTCTTGAGGCTGAACAAACTCAGCTCCCTCAGCCTTCTTCCACAGAAGAGATGCTCCAGCCCACTGATCATCTTTGTGGCCTCCTGTGGACTTGCTCTAACAGCTCGACATCTTTCTTGGGTGTGGGGACCCTCTATCTGAGCACATTATTGGAAGTGGGGCTTCAGAAGGGCAGAATAGAAGAAGCCAGTTATCTCCGCTGCCTCGCTGACCACCTTTCTTTTTGAGGCACCCAGGTTAGATTTGGCCTTCTGGGCTGCAAGTTCACACTGATGGCTTACATCAAGCTTTTCGTCCAACAGAACTCCTAAATTCTTCTTCACAGTGCTGCTCTCAATGAGCTCTTCTCCCTGAAGTATATCACTCATCACTAGCTTCCACCTGGGCATAAAACCATCAACCATAGACCTCTGGTTGTGACATTACAACCAATTCCTTATCCCCTGAATAATCTATGCTTAGAAACCATATTTTTCCAATTTAGAAGTAAGAATGTGATATAGGACCATATCAAAGGCCTTGCAGAAGTCCAGATAGATGGCATCACTTGTCTTTCCTTTGTCCACTGAAACTATCGCTCCATCATAGAAGGCCACTAGATTGGCCAGGCATGACCTGCCTTTGGTGAAGCCGTACTGGCTGTCTCATATCGCCTCCTCAACTTGCATATATCTGAACCTGTCTTCCAAAAGGAACTGTTCCATTATCTCCCAGGCAGAGAGATGAGGCTCACTCGCCTTTAGCTTCCCTGATCTTCCTTTCTCCCATTTCTTAAAAATGGGAGTGGTTTCCCTTTTTCCAGCCACTGGGATCTTTTTGAATACAACAGAGAGTGGCTTGGCAACAACATCAGCTAGTTCCTTCAGGACTCTGGGATGCCATGTCCTATACAACCCATGGTCTACTACAAGTTCAGTTTCAGCAGGTTGCTCTTCTCTTACAATAGGAGGAATTTTGTTTCCCCAAACCTTGCCTAGATGTTCAGGGACATGAGAGATGTCTGACGGGCACTGAGTACTGAGGCAAAGAACTTGCTGAGTACCTCAGCCTTGTTGTTCATTTTTGCCATTTTTCCCTTCATGTTTTTCAGAGGGAGTGCACTCGCTTTGGCTTGTCTCTACTGACCAGTGTATTTGAACAGTTGCTTCTTGTTGCTTTTTACATCTCCCATAAAGTTCAATTCCATTTGTGCCTTGGCTTTCCTGATCCCATGTCTGCACATCCAGATGGCATGCATGTATTCTTCCCAGGCCACACGTCCCTGCTTTCAGTGCCTGTGCATTTCCTTCTTATCTTTCAGTTTAACCAACAGCTCAACTTTGCCAATTTCCTGCATCCTGTGCTTGATAAATAGCATTATTCTTAATTTAATTCATTGGTATGCTCTTCATTTTTATGTTGCTGTTATTTGCTATTTAAGATATGGTTGTCTCTTATTCTGAACTTCCGTCTGATTTCCAAAATGAATTTCACTTTCTAAAGGGTAAATGGCCTCTTTTTAGCCCTCAGATCTGTTGCCTCAAAGTATAGAAATGGTCTTTGGCCATTTAGAATTAGATCATACCAGATAGGACTTCTGTTATTTCTGACAAGATAATAGAGTCAGTGCTTTAATGAAAACGTAATTTTACTAGATTCAGTTTTCAAAAATAAAGATAAAAAATGAAAACTGCAAGTGCCACATTTGAAAGAAGTTACAGTATTTCCAATGCAGGCATTTGTTTTCCTGGTTGTTGATTACAGTTTTTTCAGACAGTTGTTCCACATAAGCTAGAACAGCCCAGAGTGAAATTTACAGTTTCTCTCATAGCTGAGACAGAATCCAAGTACTTATTTCCATGTTGCTTTTCTTTGTTTTGTATTTGAAATCCTACTCATAAGAAAAAGAGTAGCATTTATCAGTGTTTATATAAATCGAAAATCTCACTATACAGAAAGAAATTCATGGCTTGCTGCACTGGTAGATTGCATCATGCTCCAGCGTGTAGGCAAAATGCTGAGATCTCACAGTTGTCTGCTTACAAACTACACTCTTACAAAGAATTTTTGAGGCAACAAACATTCCTCCTCTGCTTTTAATTTCCCCTGTGCTGTTCAATTTCATTCACCAACTTCAGTATAACTAACTGTTTTGAAAGACATGGAGATTGAGGTAAGAGTTTTCAAAGAGACTCACAGGAGTAAATGCTTACTTCTGTTTGCTGGTTTTGAGAGATGAATATATAGTTCCCCATGGGCCTACCGGAAATTTCAGCCTTAAAAACCATTTTGAAATGCATACTTTGTATGCAGACAAAAGTAGCAGTTTTTGCATGTATACTGATCATAGTCTTTCCTTCAGAGCTTCACATCAAAGTAAGTAGAAAGCCTTTAATAAAAACAATCAAAAGAGAAATAT